TCGCGAAGGGAATGCTAGATTCTACCATCATTAATTTTCAAACTACTCGTATAAACAAGTTTGACCAAGGAGAAGTACCCTCGCGTGGTTAAGATAGCGGCGGTTAAAATACCACGGACTAGGTGTACGGCGGGGAGAATGGGCTGGGAGGGGGGTGGGCGGAAGACGAGGAGGCGGACGGGAACCCACGTGGGCGCTAAGGATTTCCTGAAGTGTCCGCGAGGCATGAAAAGCACTTCTTTCGTCGCGTGGGGCAGGAAACCCCAATCTGAAATTGCGTGGCTTTGGAAATAGTCACGTGGTTGGTTGTGGTGGGCACTTCATTGCTTCGAACATCTCCCCACCCACCCCTTTCCGTCTCTCCACCCACAACCACCCCCCACCCCCTCGAAACCAATCCCCCCGCCAACTCGAAAAAAAACAGACTTTAGCGAAAAGTCTACCAAATGAAAAACATGATCACCCACCCAAATTTGAGAAGCTCTGCCGTGGTAGGGTGAAGGTCGGTCCTTCCTGCTCACCACCCATCGATGTCGCGCATCTGCTATGAAGCAGTCGCATCGCAGCTCTATCGTGTAACTTGGGCAAAGTGAAACCAATTGCCAGGCCTGCAGGAAAAACACGCGTGAGGGTTGCTGTACCACAAGCCAGCCGAGGATGAGGGGTTTTGAGTTGATCACGGACGTACACCTGATACTCACCTGTTGCACGCGCATTTGCTCTTTCCCAGCCCGAACCTCTTCCCATGATCATTTTGTGCCAGGCATTTGCCTGCGGTTAACATACCCGCCGAGCCCCTTGCAAAGGCAAGGCGGTTCGTCAAACTGGCAACGCGTGGAACAAAACAGGTGAAGTTACCTAGCAGTGTGGAGTACAACAAAATCTGCCACCCTTAACAGTTACTCAAAACAACAAACGTGTTACTCTTGAAATATTTACAATCCCATTTTTTCCCCGAGGCGAATGTTGACGAACGCTTGCAAAATGCACCGCCCGCTAAACAACCAAAACATCGATAGAGTATGTGGAACTCTAATGGGTATCATTTGTATAATGAGACTACATGCCAAATGCGCAGCTATGACGCTTCTTCCGCATTGTTAAAGCTTTGGTATACATTTGATAGGAGGGGCTTCAAAATCCTTAGGAACTTGAAAATTTGTGGTAAAACGTGAGGCACACTGCATAAACCCTAAACCCCAATGACAAATGCCTAAACCCGAAGCCTGGATTACAAAACTGAGTCAATGCTTGGTTTGGTAGGTCTGTGGTTCAGACCTGTTAGTAGCACACTAACAGGCAGCGGCAGAAACGTGCCGTCAACCTCTCAAACCGCCCTGTGCCACCCTTCAGCGTAGACCGCCATTAGCTGCCCTGTTGCCACCCTTAGCCGCCCTCTCCCGCTTCTGACCTCCCTTAGCCACTCAAGACGTTCCCGAGCCACCCTGTGCCACCCTTACCGCCTAGGCTGCCCTTTGCCGCCCTGTTGCCGCCCTCTCCCGCCCGTTGCCGCCCTATGTTGCCCTTTGCCGCCCTTAACTACCCTCTCCCGCTTCTAGCCGGCCTTAGCCACTCAAGCACGTGCCCGAGCACGTACCCGAGTCGGCCGAGCCACCCTAGCCGCCATAGCTACCCAAACACATGCCCGAGCTGCCAGAGCCGCCCTAGCCGCCATAGCCATTCGAGTAGGACCTGAGCCTCCCAAGCCACCATGCGTCCCTCTCCTCTAGAGTGCTCGTGCCTCGCTCAATCCTCCTCCTGTGGACGCTTCTCCTCGGTTTCCTCCTTCTATGGCATCCGAGTCCTTGCTGCGTTTCAATGCTGAGGGCCGCACCGCAGACTTTCAGTCGTGGCTGGTAAAGGTGCGCCTCTCCCCGTAGAGTCTGTTTCAGCTGGGCATTGCGCTCTACAAGCACGCTATTTGTGAGCTCCCAACCCCTCTTGCTGCTACCCTTCCTGATGCAGCTACGGTCGAGCAGCAGAAGGAGTACGAGGCAGCACGCTAGAGGTGCACCACTTGATATCCTCCCTCACCTCCCACACACTGAGCGGGAGTTCTTCACTCGGGTGGAGACGGCAAAGGAACTGCTAGATGCTGTTGTCGCCCGCTATTCCACTCCCTCTGCTGCTACGCTAGACCGCCACATCCTGCCCTTCCTTCTCCCTGACCTCCCCTCCTTTTGCTATATCGCTGATTTCATCACGCACTCGACGCTACATTCCGTTCTGTTTCCACTTCCGAGCAGAACGCAGAGGTCGAACCCTAAACCCTGTCATGATATTCAGAATTCAGTTCTGGACTCTGGATTCAGGATGAAGGCACCTTCATGTTCAAACATACAAAATGACAGGTTGACATCCCTGATACAGTAACCCAGGTCACCAAATACGGTCTTTGCCATGTAAAGTCCCCACTATTGCCTCAACCCGAAGCCTGCCAGTAGTGTTTACACACACAACTCAAGAGCACTTATGTAAGGTACACTGATCCACAGGCATGTGGATATGAACATGGGGTGGCTAACTTTCAACTGATCCACTTCTGTCCATGCCATGTGTGGAGCACCTACTCTTGCCTCTTAGGGCTCTCACACACAACCAGGAGAAGCAGCTACCTATGTACACTGATCCGCAGGCATGCGTGTATGTATGAACGGGGGAAGGCTAACTGTCCTTTCTATGTGGAGCCCCTACACTTGCCTCGTCAGGCTTTCACACGCAGCAACCAAGGAGCAGGAGCTATCGGTATGTACACTGATCCACAAGCATGCGTAAGCAAACGCAACGAGGCCGACTGACCCGATTCTTGAAGGATCCTGTCCCTGTGGAGCGTGTTTTGAGACGAAGCCAAAACATGAAGGATCTTGTCCCTGTGGAGCACTGCTGTTGCTGTCTGTTCCAGCTGATGCAAACAAGCGATAGTACAACAGCTATATACAGCTACGTTCAGGGGCAGGCACTCATGTAGCTTCCTAGGGCTAGCCCCTGCTACCCCTGCGTTCACGCTGGGCAGGGAATTGGCAGCAGTATTTGCCACCTTTCAGCATGATCCCTCCTCAGGAGACGACTTTTGAGGCGCCTCAAAAGCCATGCTACCCATGTGTTCACGCTGGGCTGGACAGGGAATTGGCGCAGCGTAGACCTCCTTTCAGCATGTACCCCTTGTCAAGAAAGCGGTCTGTTGAACACGATGATGGCGAGCAGGAGAATCACAACAACTGCCACAGCTGGCACCACTTCCGCCCCTCCTTGCTCTCCTTCTCCCATGAACTCCCCTTCCACACCCCTCCCACCATCCCCTTTCCGCTTTTGCTCTTCTTTGTCCTCCTCCTCCTCCTCCTCTTTATCCCAGTCACTGTATTGAAAAGCAGCAGCAGGCGTAGCTCCGTGGGTATAATGCAAGCTACCACACAACTGCTGCTCATGCTTGTTCTCCTCCTCCCCTTCCTCCTCTATCTCCTCCTCCTCCCCATCACCCCCCTCCTCGCTGCTCTCACTCATGTGCTCCAGCGAGTCATGGTGATCAGCACCCAGCAGGAGCAGCAGCGAGCTCCAGGCAGACCCGTGCAAGGAGGAGAGCTGTTCCAGAAGGTGAGACACCACCGATACCACTGATGGCGATGGTGGGGAGGAGGGGGACGGGGGTGATGGTGGGTGGGATAGCACAGGGCATTGGGAGGAGCTGGAGGCTTCAGTCGGTGGTCGTAGCGACAGTGCTGGCCGTGGTGGTGGTGGTGGTGGTGTTGCTTTGGCCAGTGCTGCTGTCGCTGAGCTTAGGGCTGCTGCTCTGTTGGCAAGTCCTGGTTTGGTAGTCTCTGGTACTGTCACACCGCTGCTTCTTGCTACAGCTCCTACCATTGCTCCTCCTGTTGTTCCTGCTTCTGCTGCTGTTGCCGCAGCAGCCATTACTTCTGTTGCAGCTTCTTTCCTTGCTGCTACGGCTGTTTCTGCAGTTTCGGCTACTGCTGCTGATTCGGCCACTGCTCTTCCAAAGAAACCAGGCACATGGACACAAACGCATAGAGAACGAATGGGCAGAGGAGGGGAGGGACGAAAGCTCGGGGTAGAGTACAGGGGTGTAAAGCGAGAAAGCATCCCAATCCCTCGCTGATGCTTACCCTCTTGAGGAGATTTTATTTGTGGCTCAAACGCAATGCAGACGTCTACTGTCTCTCAACAAGGGACTTATCAGATAATCACAAACCAAGAATGAAGAACACATACCACAAAGTAGGGGTCAACGCACCTTTATCACAGGGAAGCAGGGCAGCTGGCCGATTTCCTAGCAACCTGCTTGGCAGATCATCAGACCCCCTGGTCTCTCTGCTCCTCCCAGCCCTTGTGCCTGTTTCTTGTTCTTTTTCACAATCACTGCGCAACACTTGTGCCCCACCAGTATCAACTGCAGCAGCATCAGCAGCAGCAGATACCGCAGCAGTATCAGCAACTGGGACATCAGCAGCAGCAGCAGCAGCAGCAGCAGCAGCAGCAGAGGTGAGGGAAGGCGCAGGCGCTCTGTTCCGTCTCCTACGGCCCATCAGCCTCTGTACGTCTGGGTTGCTGCCTATGGCCGCCCACACTGCCGGGTCGCGTGCCACTGACGTCACTGCGCTCTGCAGGGGGGGAGAGAAGGAAAGAAGGCTGTGTCTCATTCGAGAATCCTCAAAAGTGAGAAGGACACGGGAGGAACTCAAGAAAGGGACAACAGGGAGGGCTGGGAAACGACAAGCAACTCCTATGACGAAGCGGGGAGGAAAGGGAGGGAAGGAAAATCAGGCACGCCTCAGAAGACTCCTACCTGAAGCCCCTCATTCCTTGAGAACAGCTCCAACGACTGTGAAACGACCAGCACACGCCTTGGACGGTTTTTGCGGTGCTTAGACATAACATCCTCCTACCTGTAGCTCCGAATCCCTAGAGAAGAGCTCCAATGCATGCGAAACGACCAGCACACGCCTGCAAGAGAGAGTATTGAGCTACTTAGGAAACAAGGCTCCTACCTGTAGCTCCGAATCCCTAGAGAAGAGCTCCAATGCGTGTGAAACGACCAGCACACGCCTGTCCCGCCCGCCCTCCTGCACAGCTCGTCTGCGTACATCTGTCACCAGCTGATTGGCTGACACGGAATGGCTGCCAGACAGAGTGGGATGGAGTGGGGAGGGCACAGTGTTGGTACGGGAGCCAACAAGGGATGCAACAATCTGACCTGTTGCTGCAGGCGTTCTCCATTATTCGCAACATACACTGCTGGTATGGGGTCCGGCAAGGGAGGCAACAATGACGTGGTATTATCTGACGAAGCCTGCAGTAACCATGTCAGAGACAAATCACCCAATTCGTGAACCAGCCCTCCTTGGTTCACCCAATTCGTGAACCAGCCCTCCTTGGTTCACCCAATTCCTTGGCCACGCCTTACCTACCCTTCCCCCCTCTCACTGCCCCGCCTCTCTCTGAGCCCTTCTCAGTCCCTCACCTTCCCCCTCTCTCGAACCTCTCCCCAACTCCCCTGCACTCTTAGCACAGCCGCGTCCCAGACAGCACGTCGCGCACACTACCGGTATGGGGCTCGGCAAGGAATGCAACAATCTGAGTCGTGTTTTGAGTCGACTCAAAGCACGACACACTACCGGTATGGGGCTCAGCAAGGAATGCAACAATCTGACACGTCCCAGACGCAGCAAACTACCTCATTTGAGCCGACTCACAAACTGCCCCCTTCCCCAACACCCTGCCCTATCAGCACTACTGCATCCCAAACAGCACGTTGTGCAGAGCAAGCCACCCTTCTTGAAGTTGTACCTTACCTAGCAGCAGGCATATATCGCCTGTTGAGCTTATACCCTACTTGTTTCCATTTCTGTAGTTCATCTCACCTGGGAAGCGACTGAACGTTGTGAGTGACATTTTTAGAAATCTCGAAAGCCTGTTTGTTTCCATTCCTCTCATTAATCACACCTGGGGAGCAGATTGAAGTTCGTTGATTTTTAAAGATGCGTCAGATCAGACAGCTGCCTAGTTTCGTTCTTACAATCATGCTCACCTGGGAAGCGACTGAATGCTCGCATGCAGTTGCCTCGCCGCATGAGCCACCTCCGAAGCCGATGGAGCTGGACCTATTCGCACGGATTGTTGAGACGACTCAGCAACCGGACCTATTCGCACTGCATCTTCTCCTAGAGATGGCGGCAATCTCCCAGATTGTTCCGACGGTACGGCTATCGAGCGATCTAGATGTTGATCAGGATGATTCGGCGGTTCACACACGGTGGTCCAATCGTCACGTAGGGTTTCGCACAGGTCCGCACGCTGATCGCCACCACTGCGATCGTCGCTGATATCACCTCTGCGCTCAGCTTTGCGATCGCTGCGGCTATTTGTGCGATCGTCTCCGCGGTCAGCCCCTAGATCTTCCCTGAAGTCTTCGCACAGATCCCACTCTTCTTCTCGTGCTGACGCGGCTGCGAGCCGCGAACCCTGAGAGCCCTGAGAAGAAGGACAGTACGCGAAACATTTTGCAAAGGAGAAAGGACGGGACGGAGTAGGAGAGACGTGACATTGTCAAACAGGTGCGAACCAGAACGCGGTAATCCCCGATAAAGGAATATTTCTAACACGAGCTTATGAAACTCGCCTGATGGTTATGCCTTCCGATAGCCGCCATCGATAGGATGACGGCGACTGATGCTGGTGATGGTGGTGCACGTCTGGGTCTGATGCCGGTAGAAACTTGGACACAGACTCTCAGGGTTGTTGCCTCAGGCAGCAGCAACAAACTGCTCTGGTTCGTGTGGAGGAGTCAGGCGCGGAGGTTCAGCAGGCCCGTCCGTTAACCGCGATCCAGGCGATTCCGACTATACTACTCGCGTCGCTAAGAGACCAATACTGAGACCACATATTTAGTTGAAGGGGAGTATTATGCTGTGGCCTGCAAAACGCGAACTGTTCAAGAAAATTCCTTGTGTAACCACAACGAACAAAATCGTACAGACATGGCTAAGCTTGCTAGATTCTACGATTCTAGTCCCAGAGAACCTGCTTGCTTTGAGTGTTTCCGCGATTTTCCTAGCAGCACAAACAGCAAAGAACCATCACTCCAAGAATTGGACAGAAATTCACGAGCAAAGAAGCAAAGCATACAAAAGGTCTGCCAATCCGAGTCATTGCCGCGCAGCTCCCAGCAAGCATGTGATGCACAAGGCCCAATTATGCGTACGCATCTGGCAAGCCACGAGATTGTTAAGTCGACAACCAATCAGAACGTAATCGCATCGTATTTCATTCGTGCGCCACGCGCTCAACAGCGCTTCCAGCTGTACTCCATAAAATGTGGTGCAATACCTTTTTTTCATATACACTGTTAACAACAACAATACCATCTCTACTAACTAAGCGATCCTAATTCGACAATGCAAAAGCAAGCTAAACTAGATGACCGTTCCAGATGGAATGGTTGCATTCCTCAACACAGTAACAATCCCCTTGCTGATGACAAAGCCGGCATCCTCCTGCATAGACTCTTGAACACCTTCCTTGTTGATAATCTGCAAGAGCGAGCGCAAATGAGGCATGGTTCAATGAGATAAGCTGTTCTTTCCCTGTGCAGACATTAGTTAAAGCACACATTGCTTCTTACATGCACATTGTCTCCAATTCGGGCGTTCTTGTCAAGGATAGCTCCCTTGATGACCGAATTTCTCCCAACACCAATGGGCATCTGCCCGGATGCAATCACCCTCTGCAGCTCATCCTCATCCTGGAAATCATGAAACCAGGGGGGTGTATTGCAACATCCATAAAATGAAACTGATGTGAATAAGCAGGCTGAGAGCAGCTGTAAAAAACCAACAAACTGATAACGAAGTACACTGGGAAAATAATACTCGTAGGCCAAGTACCTCATAATAGTCTGCTCCTAGGAGCAAGCTGTCGTGGATCGATGACCCTGCACCAACTATTGACCGCAGGCCCACCATTGAGTCGTGAATGGCACACTCCTGGGAGTCAGAGACAGTGACAGTGGCAAAGATTTCAGACGGTAACAGCGAGAGAGAGAGAGAGAGAGAGAGAGAGAGAGAGAGAGAGAGAGAGAGAGAGAGAGAGAGAGAGAGAGAGAGAGAGAGAGAGAGAGAGAGAGAGATTGGCAGTGAGGATGCGAATGGTGAAGTGCGGCAATAAGTGCATCTCTTAGAACATCATTGCCTGATGCCAATCATGCATCGAAGGGTGGTTGCGGATAGGCTAAGCATAAATCAATGCAGCCGTAATTGAGAGAGGAGAGATCCAAAAGGCAGGAAGAGAGTGTATACATGCAAGATGCAGCCTTCCCCGATAACGCTGCCAGAAATGTCAACGTTGTTCAGCTTGGAAGGAGGCAGAGAGCGGGACTGAGTGAATATAGGCGCGGACCGATCATAGAACCTGCAAAGCACAGTTTTTCCAAGTAAGTGCAGTAAGGCGTTGAGCAAAATGACAAGGAGGCTGACATGAGAGACAGACGTTATGACGAGAAAGGGGGGACTAACGATTAGGTCTTGATTACATTTCTCATTACGAGAAGAAAAAGGGGGGTTGGAAAGTCCTGACTAAATAAATATTCAGGCGCCTCAAAAGTAGACTGACTGAAGAATCTGAATGCAATTCGACTATTGTGAAGCAAGGGTTCAGATTGTTGAGTCTACATTGAGTTTGACAAAAGAGTCGTGAGACAAAAGAGTCTCACATGAAGGGGGGGGTAGGCTTGGTGAATCTGAGGTTGGCGAAGTAAAAGACATCAATGGACCCGATGCCTTTCCTGTACCCATCATGTATGCACATTTGCACCTCATATAGACTCGAGTAACACTATGAACATGACTTGACTCACGTCAAGGGAGGGTTAGGCTTGGTGAGCCTGAGGTTGGCGTGGTAGAAAGCATCAATACACCCGATATCCTCCCTGTACCCATCTACCCATCGTAGGTGTACGCTTGCACCTCATAGACTCGAATAACACTAAAAGATCAAAATGTGACTTGACTCACGTGAAGGGGGGGTTGGGCTTGGTGAGTCTGAGGTTGGCATGGTAGAAAGCATCAATAGACCCAATGTCCTCCCAGTACCCATCATAGATGTACGCTTGCACCTGATGCATTCATGGCACACATGGGGAGAATGGGGAAAGGGGGATGGATTAGTGGGAGGGGAAGGGGGGAACGGTAAGAGGAGGAAAGTAGTTGAGAAGGGGAGAAGGGAGGGCCGGAGAAAACGGGCGGGATAGAAGGGGGGGGAGAAGCCTTCACAGGCACCACAAGTAATTTTTTTTTTTTTTTTTTTTTTTTTTTTTTGGGCTTTAAGGAGATCCCCGGAGGAAACCAACCCCCCGTAGACCACAAGTAAAAAGCACAGCCTACAGTACATTACAGTACAGTACAGTACAGTACAGCCTGCAGCTCACATTGGAGCTGTTGGCATTGGCACAGGCAGCGGGAATGACCTCCCGGCCAAATCCGTGGGCGCCTGGTGAACTGCTCGAGCAGCAGGCGCGGCAAAACTTACCTGCTGGGTCACGATTTTGAGTCTCAATTTAAACTAGTTTACCTTGGAGCCATTGGCACAGGCAGCGGGAGTGACCTCTCGGCGCAAGTCACTGGCTTCTGGAAACTTCTCCAGCAGCAGAATAAGCAGAGCGCCCCTGCTGATCGCGATTTCAAGCCTGACTCATTCTTAGCTCACCTTGGATCCGTTGGCACAGGCAGAAGGGATGACTTCCCGCCCAAAATCATTGGCGTCTGGGAATTGCTCGAGAAGGAGGCGAGGCAGAGCCTCCCTGCTGATGACGTAGATCCCCATGGACGCAATAAATGGCCGCTTCGCTGCCTCCTGGGGATCCAGACCCACGTTCGTTGTGTCCACCTGACAACGTAAACAGAGAGAAAAGAAAATTGAACCTTTGTTTTTAGACGTCTCAAAAAAGGATTTTGTTGTTCGTTGAGCCCACCTGACAATGTAAACAAAATCAGGCCAATCACGCTTGTGGAAACGTCAACTTCTTGTGAAAAAAAGGAACAGACCAATCACGCTTTCATAAAAGGTGGTGCGAACGAAAAAATAATCCGTGATGATTGATACCAGGTTACTGACGAAACTAATTTTCCAGTTAGTGACCACTTTCCGTACCTTCATCTTGTCAAGCTCTGCTCCTTGAGGCTTCTCCGAGAACTCCATGACGCGACCGTCCTCGTCAATCTTCATGAGCCCGAAGGATGTCGCACGCTCTCTGAACACGTGCAGCCATCAAGAAACGTGAGATACCGATCTCTCTGCCGAAAGGTAAGCACTTGACGAAAAGAACACACACAAAAAAAGCTGGTTAGCAAAATCGGATCCCTGGAATTTCCTCACCTGTCAACAGGGATCGCGGCGACGGTGATATCAGCACCAGCAGCCCGGTGACACTTGATTATTCTGCGGTAGTCACAGCGATAAAGCTGGTCTGCTGCGAGGATCAGATACTCCTGAGGGTTGTGGTCCTCCAGCAGCCATATGTACTGACGCACCGCATCCGCCGTTCCCTGTCCAAAAGTCCACATTATACACAAAATCGGGATAATCAGAAATCAAAGGCTTCCACTCAGGGCTTCGTTACAGTGTCTATACTAGTTGTTTCGTTTACCTGAACTCGACTAAATTGTTTTTCTTCTTCTTCTTCTTCTTTTCCCTATTGGTCTCTTCAAGTGCCAATTGAAACCCACGGATCCTTACCTGGAACCAGTTGGGATTATCCGGGCTCTGCTGCGCTGCGAGCACTTCCACGAAGCCCTTGGTCTGGTACCCGGTCAGGCACGGCGCATAAGCTGTGAAGCAGTGACGGTTCAGCGAGGCAGAATTGACCTGCGAAAAGAGAAAAGCAGCGAACGATGGAAAAAAGGCATGAAATTGTGGTGGAACGAACGAAGGAACGAACGTCATGATCGACGGTCGCTGATCGACACCAAGCAGAAACCTTTTATCCAGTTGAAAACTATTCTGTGCATGCTTAGAGGTGGCGAGACTGTCAAGTTACCTGAGTGAGAACGTAGATCCGATCTATGTCACTATTCAAGCAGTTGCTAACGGGGATGTCGATCAGCCTGTAATTCGCGGCCAGCGGCACAGCAGGCGTTGCTCGCTCCTTTGTCAACGGGTAAAGCTTTGCGCTCGCTCCCCCACCCAGAATAACCGAGAGCACGCTCTGCTTGACAGAAAAAAAACACCAAGCTTGCATGAGACGAAAATCTCAAACATGATTCACAAAAGCCAGTCACGAAATAAACCGACAGGGAGGGACAGTTTAGCCCAAGGACGCACCTTGTTGGGCTCTGGATCAAGACAGACATCCGTGAACGCTTCCGAATCGGAAATGGCTCGAGGCGCCACCGGCCTCCTTAAAAATTCAGATTTGCTGGTGCCACTCTTCTGCTGAACTGACAGAGATTGGGAAACGGCAGAGCTCCAAGAAACCTTGGCCCCACCCGGCGAAGCAGCAAGCCTTTGTTGACAAGCGCTAGCGAGCTTCTTGTTCTGCTGGCTTGCTCCCACAAGGCAGGTGCCCGTGGCATACTTCGCGGTAGCCATGTGCCTAGAAATGAGACCAAACGCAAAACAATTTGAGAATCCTTTCGACTTTGTGGAGTTCCTGAGATCTTGAATGCCGGCGTGATTCTCAGGAAATACACACAACTGGCAGCATCTTGTAGCTCGAACCCAGAAGCTCGCAGCCAAATGGAGCGTGAGGATGGGTGCAGAGTCAAGCCCAACGAAATATTCTCCACAGCCTGGCAAAGCCTTTGCGAAGGAAGTCTTCGGTGCTACGAGATTCGCGACAGCTCACAAGATGGGAGAAAGGCACGCGATAGAGAGTTTCGCGACGGTTTTGTTCGCGAAGAGATCTCAGGCCTTCCAGTCAAAGGGCAGGGAGATTCTGAGGTTATTGGCGCGCCTCGGTGATGTACAAGTCCTTGATTGGGGGACGCCAGCGTGGGGCATGGGGTGGACAATTCACGGTGACCATCCACATCACTTCTATGACGTGGCACATTCAAACAAAGCATACGCAATGTTGGAAGTGGGTGAAAATGCTAAAACTTGTTCTCTAGCAGAAGACTACTGCCTTATGTTTGCATTTTCTCCTTCAGGAGAATACAACTCCAATCTCCATCAAACTACGCAACCTCTTCTTGTGCATGTTTACCCCCATAACTTTCAAAGAAACCCTTGAGAAGAACATAATATGATAGTATTTCCATTTAACATGAGGCGTGAATAAGGTTCACTTGCAGCAAAACCCAACTCCAAGGGTGACATGCACTCACTCTCAGCATCTCTGCCTGGCAAACCTTGTGGTCTGGATGCCATCCCCCCATACCTCAGATGACACAAAATGCATTTGACACCCAAACGAACCCAAGCTCTGCATGCATTCCTCCACTGCAAATAGTTTGAATCAACAAGCTCTCCATGGCTGCCTCAAGATGATACCATCTTAACTAGCTCATCCACCTCCATAATCATATCATGGTATCACATCTCATACAGCATGTTTCAGATAACAGCCTCAAGAGGATGGGATGGAGAAATTATGTCAGGCCATTCTGCTTGATCGTTGATGGTCCAACAGGAGAGCGATCACAAGAGGGATCACAAGAGGAAAGACTGTTCGTAGGATGACTGATGCAGGAACTAGGGGCTTGGATGTACAAAAGAGAGGGAAGACCCCCTCGTTTTGTGGCTAGCCCATGGCATACTTGGCTGTCCAGGTACGTGCGGTTGCTTCATACTTTTGCCTGTCTGTCTTATACATGTGCGCGATTTCAGGAACCAGAGGATCATCTGGGTTCGGATCCGTCAACATGGAACAAATCGACAAAAGAACCTGCGAAGGACAAAAGCACAAATATTAGAAAAGAACACCAAATCGTGACAAAATCGAACAAAAAGCCTCATTTGACTACCTTAGAAATGGTCAAGGCCGGACTCCACTGCTCCTTCAGAATGTCCAAGCAAATGCTCCCGTTGCTGTTGATGTTGGGATGAAACACCTTCGTCCTGAAGGCGACCTGCAATTTTTTGGAGCGTAATGGAGCGACAGAAGGTAATGTTGAGACTGAAGAATTACCAGACAACAAGCCCAGATGACCATGATTGACGACCGTGACTGCCGAAAGTGACTTAAGAGGGTAACCACGAAGAACCATATGGTAACTAATCGGGAGACAATACAGATCAAACGTCGCGATTCAATACACACGGATTTAGGGTACCTGCGAAGAACCATATGGTAACTAAACGGCAAACAATACAGATCAAACGTCGCGATTCAATACACGCGGATTTCAGATCGTACCTTGGGAGGCTTGAAAGGGTAGTCGGGAGGAAAGTGTATGGTAACCAGAAAGACGCCACCGGCGTAAGGACTATCTGGAGGACCCATGATTGTCGCTTGCCAATGAAACATGTCTTCGGCAACTGGACCTGCACTGCATGATGTAGGAGGGTCTCTCTGAAGATCTTTCAGTTCCTTAAGAATCCTTTTCGAGGCCATCGCGGGCCCTCCCCCAGCCGAAACTAATATAAAATCCGGCAATAAGGCGACGACGAAGAATCTGCCACGTAATATGACGAGAACAGTACAAGCCTGCGGGCCGAAGCACACGAGTTCACAGATCCTAGGGATACCAGCTGCTTAGGCTGCAGGGGGAGAGCGTTGGAGGGAAAGCTAGGAAGGATGGGAAGGATGAGAGGGAACTGATTGAAGCTTTGACTGAAGTCGCAGAACCTGCTGCTATCGCCAGTGGCGGATCTGACACGCACCGAGGACAGTACACGCCTCATACGACTGGCTGCCTCTTGCGACTTCTGGGTTCGGTGATGACCACGGGAATTCGCATCGCAGGGCTATGTGGAGGGGTTCTGCGAACTGCTTCGGCAACACTGGGACCTTCATCCACACAAATCCAGATTGATCCTTAAAGCGACGGGCAACTTTTGGCAGTGTTGGGTTCAGAAGTTTTTTTTTTGAACCAGGCTTGCCAGCGCGAAAGTGCTGGCTGGCGAAAACCAGGATTTCGTGCGGACACTTTCCATCCGCAGTAACAGTTCGCCAGGGTTCTGGGTTTTGGGTGGCAAATGTGCACCGTCGCTTTAACTGTACACCTCGTCCATGGAATAAACATCTGTTTTTTTAGCATAAAAATATTATACAGCTAGCACACATAGATAAGACAGTTGGGATGTGCGCTTGGTCGAGTGGGGTCATTCTGGTGATCTAAGGATAGTAAAATATAAATACCACCGTTCTCATATTCTCGTTTTCTATGTGGAAACTTTTTTATATTTATGATACTACGTGTCACAAAACAACATTCCTTGTAAACACCGTACAGACTCTGTAGCCACGTTACTACCGAACCACATCCGTCTTTCTGACGTCCCAAACGCAAGTTTCTCGCAATCGTGCTGCCACATCCTTGAGAACAGTTTTCCTGTGCATCCTAAACCGAACGGCCGTAATCCTCTCCTCCACCACCGGCAGCACCACCTCACACCAACCCTCGACCTTCATCCCCGCACGCCCTTCCGACTCACAGGCCCGAAGCTCCTCCAGCACCGCCTCATCTTCTTCCAAACTCGTCGGGAACTGCTTCAATCTAGCCTCGACAAAAAGTCGGACGGTTTCAGCAGAAGCTTTGAGAGCGGGTGTGAAGGACGAGGCGATTGGGAGGAGGTGGTGACAGGAGGAGGTGGAGAGGGCCCAGCCGTAATGAATAGCCGCGCTGGCCAGGGATGTGTAGTCCGGGGAGGCTGCACATCGGGGAGAGAGCAGGGAGGGACATCGAAGTTGGGGACACCTCAGAACACACCACTTGCCAGGGATGTGTAGTGTGGGGGACAGGGACAGGGGAGGCTGGACGTGACGAGAGGGTGGGGGAAAACGGCAGCAGGAGATGGTGAGGTGGGTGGGAGCAGAGTAGAGGCGTTAGAGATGCTTAAACTCTGGTAGAGCAGGATGAGGTGGAGAATGAGAACAGATAGATGTGAGCTACAAATGTTTGTGCAGGCCATATGACATACTCTAATCGTGCATGCCTCAGCAAATCACCTTGTGACATGTGGACGGCGTGCCAGCTGGCAGCGAGGGCGGCGAGCAGATTCGGCTCCACTATGCCACCAGCCCACACAGACACTCCCACGCCTTCGTCCTCCTCCTTTACAAGCACCTCCTTCAAAAGACTTGTGCTTGTGTCACTGTGTACTCGGTCCGCCTTATCCCACTTCTTTTCCTGTGCAACCCTGTGCTCTATCCGCTGCCGCAGCTGCAGCTGCGGAAGGCTGTTCCCTTCGGCATACGTCCCTCCAACCTCTCGAGCCTTCACCACTTCACCCACTGCTGCTGCTGCTGCCTGCCACATCACATGCACCACTAACACACCGCCCTTTCCTCCCATAACCCCCTTTCCTCCCACACCTATTTCCTCGTTTCCTGAAAGCAGCACAGAGTCCGCTGTGCCCCAAACACGGAGCAAACCTGCCCTCAGATCTACCTCCCCCGGACGAACCTCCCCGCCGCTCCCTCCCCACACCCCTCTCCCTGCACCCTGCCCCTCCTGGTGGTACGCCACCGAGGCGACGGTTCGGATGGCTCGGGAGAGGTTCGGGAAGAGCCGGACGTGGTCATAGGGATTGTCGTCGAGCACGAAGCCGTATCCCAGAAGCAGGTGGTGGTTGGGCTTGTATCCGTACACTGTGAAGAGCTCTGCACCGCGCTGAACCTCTTCCCTGGCGTAGAAGTCAAAACTGCTCTGCTGCACCTGGTGGGGTGATAGGGGGGTGGATGGCATGACGGGATTGTCAAGTGTTTGTCTTAGCATGTTGCCCACCTTGAACTAATGATACTCACTAGAAAATGAAATACTACACTATGCGATCATATGGTACGTATGTTGCTTCATATGCTTTGTTGTTGTAAAGAAAATACCTAGGATGTCTACATATGCAGATAATACATTTGCTTTCATATATATGTATGTTTATACTTAGGTATACACGATAGGATTATAAAACCTTGCACTAGGTTATGTAATATAGGTATAGGAAAAGTGCATAGTGCAATGTTGTAGAGTGACACACCTTGTACTGTGCGTTGTGCGGGTGGTGGTGGTTGATGAGCACAAAAATGGGAATATGTCATATGATGTGTATAGACAAGGCTACAATGAATAAGGACATGGGAAGGTCAGCACACACACCTTGTACTGGGCGTTGTGGGGGCGGTGATGCTCAATCAGTTCAGCAATGGGCATCAGAGCCATGGGCTCGCCCACAAACCGTGTGGAAGGCACCTCAAACATAAGCTTGTAGAATGGCACAGCACACACACCTTGTACTGGGCGTTGTGGGGGTGGTGATGATCAATCAGCTCAGCAATGGGCACGAGAGCCATGGGCTCGCCCACAAACCGCCGCCTCTCAGACGCAGGCAGCGCCAGCAGCTGCTCTAGCATGCCCCCCCTCCCCCTCTCCTGCTCCCTCTCTTCCTCTTGGGGAAAGCGTGTGGTGTCAGTGTGAAGCTCGGCGGAGGTTCGGCGGGCAGGTGCGGGAGTGGAGAAGGCTCGGGAGTTCATGACGGCAAGAGCCCAGAGGAATTGGTGGAGCGAGGCGAAGGCGATGGCTGGCGGGCGGCATAGTTTGTACTGTTGCTCGTAGTACTCGCGGACCATGCGGATCTGAAAGGGGGTGGGACACGATTGAGGCATGACGTAAAAAAAAAAAAAGCTTCTGCTGGGATGGCGGGTGGAGCTTTGTACTATTTCTCGTAGTACTGACGGACCATGCGGATCTGAAAGGGCGAGGGCGGCGGGAACGGGTATCGATGGGATAGGAGAGTGGTTGGGGTGGGAAGAGGTAAGGGGGAGGGGGGGGGGGAGAAGGAAGAGAGAGAAAAAGAAAAACGAAGCAGCTACCCAGGAAGACAAGAAGTTGGAAACACACTTGGTTCTTGAGAGCTCTCAAAACCGGTTGGCAAAATCAACAATTGCTAGTGGGAAGGGAGATTGAAGAAAGAATGGAAGATTAGAATGATAACTTGCGAGCCGGGTGGAGGGGAAGGGTGGGTTAGGGGGGAGGGGGGTTGTTCCATTTTCTCTCACATACTCGCTCCACAAACGAGGGTGACTGTAGCTCGTCCAGCGTGGCAGCATCAAACAAGAATGGCAGAGGCACGTAGGCCGGCAGGATCTGCAGGTACGGCCACCACTCCGAGCCTCGCCCCCGCGCCTGCTCCCGAAGCAGCCACGCAGCTCCGGCGGCGAGCGTCCACACAGGGTTGGCGTAGGGTGCTGCTTCCTCTGCCATGGTGTGGGTTGATACCCAGAGGGCGTGAGGGATGGAGAGCAGCAGCTGGCCTTTCTTCTTCGACTGCCCTGCCACCACTGTCAGCTGCTTCCTAGAGAGAGGTAATGGGTTGAGAGTAGGGAGAGGGGGAGAGAGAGGGGGAGGAAGGGGGGAGGGCAGGACAAGAAAGTTATATGAGTTGACTCAAAGGCTCCTCGATAGAAGGAGAGGGTGCTGCTTCTTCGGCCATGGTGTGGGTGGATACCCAGAGGGCGCGAGGAATAGAGAGGAGAAGTTGACCTTTCTTCTTTGACTGCCCTGCCACCACTGTCAGCTGCTTCCTAGAAAGGTGTTGGGTTGCGTTGAGGGGGTGATGAGTGGAGGGAATGACGATTTGGGTAGGCGGAGAAAGAGAGGGGCGGATGAGGGCGGGAGAGAAACAGGGGGAGGAGGTACGTTCAGAAGTGTTTTGACGTAGCGAGGAGAGGAGACGAAGTTCCACGCATGGTGTGATTCGTGTTAGGTTATTGACAGCATGGTGTGATTCGTGTTAGGTTATTGACAGCATGGTGTGATTCGCGTGCGATGAGTCTATAATTGAGTCGACTCAAAAGTAGCCAGGAGAAGAGTCGAAGTTTAGGGTTTGTGTGATTCGTGTTAGGTTATTTCACAACAAGGCTCGCCTGGACCGTGCTTTGGCCTGCAAGCAAAGAGGCTGCAAAGAAGACCACACACTCCGTGATGCCTCCTAGCTCACCAGGACCGTGCTGCTATATGGAAATCACTTTTGAGAATTCTAAAAAGTGATTTTCATATAGCTGCAGCAAAGAGGCTGCAAACAAGACCACACATCTTGAGATTCCTCACAGCTCACCTGGACCGTGCTTTGGCCTGCAGCAAAGAGGCTGCAAACTCCCCGTGAGCTTTGAGAGAAGGTGAATGGGAGCTGTTGGGCTCTGGGCGGAAATCACCTGACAGGGGTGGGAAGGGAGGAGAAACAGGTAGAGACGATTTGTGACAGAGTGAAACGAGGGAGGAGGGAAGAATGGGCGGAGGAGGAGAGGATGAGATATGATACGAGGCAACTTGCTGGAGGGTGGGGGAGAATGGTGTGAAAGGAGGAAAAGGTGTGAAAGGAGTGAAAGGAGTGAAAGGAGGGAAAGGATTCAACTCAAGTAGCACGTGAATACTCAAGTAATCATTCTGTAGTGCCTCGAAGGTGGATCGCGGCTTGCCAAAGTCAGGGATCCCCCTGGCCCGCACCCACTCCAAAAACACTCCCAACTTCTCCTCATCACTCCTCTCCTCTTCATCCTCCTCTGCTGCTGCGTCACCTCTTCTCCTCTTGCTCTCAGCAGCTGCTGCAGTCACTGGCTCTGGCTCGTGCAATCGCAGGTCGTATTTGGGGTCGCAGGCGAGCAGCAGCCAATCAGAGGTGTCGATGAGCACCCGCTTCTTATTGGCCCTCACCTGCAGCACCTGCTGCACCTCCTCTAATGCTCCCATGAACCACGGTAGGCAGAGCTGTGGGGGGTGAGAGGTGGGGAAGGGAGTGTGGTTGGGACAGAGGCGACGGTTTTGGATGGGGCCAACCAGGAAACACCTACTCCCCACCCCATGAAGCCAGATAGCACCTACCCCAGATGGGGCCTCGTCCAGCCGCCCAGCATCGCGGTACCGCCTGCAGATGGCTGCTGACGTCAGCATGAACTCATCCTCGCTCACGGACGACCAGCCCTCTCAGCATGCCTGCTGCCGCCCGCAGCGCTGGTAACAGGTCGGCGACAGGTGGCGGCATGTGATTGGCTGTGGAGGTACTGGATTGTGATGCGGATGGAGCAGAGGTGGTAGAGGAGGAGGAGGTATGGGGGAGGAAGAGTGGGTGGGAGGGGAGGGAGAGAAGTGGCATGTGCGTGCAGGTGGTGGTGCCATCCAGATTCCATGCCAGTGCCACGATCACCCGCGCCAGCACTGCTGGGTCAGGCTCTGGTTGGGTTGGGGGAGCGGGGGAAGGGCAGTGATGAGTAGGATCAGGGCAGTGATGAGTAGGATCAGGGCAGTGATGAGTAGGATCAGGGCAGTGATGAGTAGGATCAGGGCAGTGATGAGTAGGATCAGGGCAGTGATGAGTAGGATCAGGGCAGTGATGAGTAGGATCAGGGCAGTGATGAGTAGGATCAGGGCAGTGATGAGTAGGATCAGGGCAGTGATGAGTAGGATCAGGGCAGTGATGAGTAGGATCAGGGCAGTGATGAGTAGGATCAGGGCAGGATACGGGCAGGGTGATATGAGTCTGGAGTGTGCGAAAAGGGCAGGATAAGGGTCTGGTCTGGTGTGGGTGCAGGTGACGTGATAAAAGTGGGTGGAGGAGACGTCTCAAAACTACACTTTTATCAAAGAGAAGGATTACAGTCTGGTCTGGTGTGGGTGGAGTGGAGGTGTGACGAGATCCAGACATGTTTCGAGTGGGGTCATTGAAACATGCGATGCAATATCGGACCAGTAAGGTATGAGACACGAGGCACGCTCTAGCTAAGGTCGCATGCAATATCTAGCGAAACAAGAAGAGGGGGGAGAGGGGGTGGGAGTAGGAGGGGTAAGGCGGGCATGGAGATAAGGTGCTTCACTCCCACTTAGCTTCAGCTCGCCTGCTGTTTCGCCTTTCAGAACACCGTACCTCTGCCAGTGGATCGCAGATAGGCGAGAGCAGTGAGGTAAGCAAGGAGCTCAGGGTCGATCCGCCCCTCAGGATATGCAAAGAGCCCCTCTGGATCCACCCCCCCTGCCACTGATTCCTCCTTTTCTTCCTTGCCGTTCTTCTCGTGTTTCATCCGCATCATCCGGTGCTTCTCTCCTTCCTTCTTCTTCCTCTCGCGCTCCAGCTGCCTCTGTCGCCGCATCTCCCAGAACCACATCTGCTCCATCCCATACCACTTGCCACCCGTCATGGCATGCTCTTCTCCTCCTCTTTCCCCTCTCTCCCCATCTTGTGCTGGCACGCCCTCCCCCGCTCGTGCTGCAGAATTTAGGAAGCCCTCTGTGACTCCTCCAGCCTCTCGGGCAGCGCTCAAAACATTCCTCTTCACCTCCAAAACTGCCCGGACGACACGGTCCTCCAGCGCCGCTGCCCGCTTCTGAAATTATTTCTCGGGCAGTTTAGCGGGCAGGCCGTTTGAGGGAAAGGCGAGAGAGAAGGAGCGGAGGGCGTGGGCAAGAGAGGGAAATAGAAGGACCTTGTCCAAAGCCGTGTCTTGCGGAACAGTACCAGTGCTTAAGTAAACATCATCGTTAGATTGCAGCGGCGGTGGAGATGGAGGTAGGAGTGCTGCAGAATTCATGTCTGTGTCTGTATGTTGAGTAGGAGCGGTGGGAGTTCCTCGCTGGCGAAGACCTCGATTGAATCTCTAGACACCTGCATTGCACGGAAGGGGCGATGGGAACGTTGAAGAAAGGAGCATGTGAGAATAGTTAGATGTGACTCCAATTGTGCCGGGATATCCTCGCTGGCAGAGACCTCGATTGAATCTTTAGACACCTGCATTGCATGGAAGGGAGGATGTGTTTGTGGTTGGCAGAAAGGAAGGGAATGAAGGAGTGGCGAGTCATGTGTCAACCTGTCACCACTCACAACTATCAGAATCAGAAATTGTCAAGCTGTCACGACTGACTACTATCAGAATCAGCAATTGGCTCTTATGTCCCTCGATCCGCCCATCCTTGTGATCCCTCCCTCCCTCTCATCCCCCTCGCGTGCATTGAGGTGTATTTTGAGGCGCCTCAAAATATCGGCTCTTATGTCCCTTGATCCACCCATCCTTGTGAGTGACCCCTCCCTCCCTCTCATCCCCCTCGCCTTTCCCTTCATCCCCCCTTCCCCGTCCATCCCTCACCCACCTGCCACTGCACGTTGCTTCCACCTCCCCCAGCTGCACCCGTCACTGCTGCTGCTTGTGCTGCCACCCCTGCCGCTGCTGATGCCGCTGCTATCGCCGGTGCTGCTGCTGCTGGAGCTTTTTCTCCCATTGTTGTTGACTGGACAGGAGCCGGGCGGCTCATGAGGTGCAGCAAGGGCACTATCACCAGTGCAGCAGGTCGGCTGTCAGGTGAACTGTCAGGTACTGAAGGCGACGGGGCTTGGGGCAGCGGCAGGGACACGGAGAGAGCAGCAGCAACAGCTTGAAGAAAGCTCTCGAAAGACATGTCCGCGTTATCTGCGGTAGACTGGCTGACAGTGGCGTTCACCCATGCGTCGTATTCATCTTGGTACTGCTCCACCTGCTTGTCTAGCTGGCAAGGATGGGACCCACAGGGTGTACACACAGGGGGTACAGAGAGGTACAGGGGAGGCAGATCCGTTCAGAGTGGTGTTCACCCATGCGTCGTGCTCGCCTTGGTACTGCTCCACCTGCTTGTCTAGCTGGCAAGAATGGGACCCAACTCAAGGGGTGAATACACAGGGGGTACACACAGGGGGTACAGGGGAGGCAGATCGGTTCAGAGTGGTGTTCACCCATGCGTCGTGCTCGTCTTGGTACTGCTCCACCTGCTGGTCTAGCTGGCAAGGATGGGACCCAACCCAAGGGGTGAATGCACAGGGATAACAAAGTAAGCACGTGTGTTTTTTGAGAATTCTCAAAAGACAAATGTGGAGCACATTGAAGGCAGATGATTCTCTTTTGAAACCCCAGGCTCATCTGAATGTGTTTCACCCCTTGCATTGTAGTTTTGAGACGTCTCAAAACGTGTTTCACCCCTTGCATTGTAGTTTTGAGACGTCTCAAAACGTGTTTCACCTCTTGCATTGTAGTTTTGAGACGTCTGAAAACGTGTTTCACCCCTTGCATTGTAGTTTTGAGACATCTCAAAACACTTCTTCAATCACGAGGCTGATCTGAGCGTGTTTCACCCCTTGCATTGCATTCAGTCCAGTCCACTTCAGATCAGATCATCAGCCTGCCCGACACCCAAGCTTTGTCTCACTTTGTGTCAACCGCTCGTCTTACATTGTCAATGAATGGCTTTGATTCGACTCACCCTGTCGATCAACGGTTTGTAGCTGAGCTCCATTCGCAGGTCGTCATCCAGCATAAGAGGCAGCGGCCTCCCCAGATTCACGGGCGGCAGCAGCACCCCTGCCAGTGCCGCCCAAGACAAACCCTCTGCCGCCCGTTCCTTTTTCGCAGCTGCTTGCAGCATACAGCCCGCCAGATAGCACTCAGGTGAAAGCTCAGGAGGGGAGGACGAGGAGGAAGATGCGCAGGCAGACGAGGAGAGGGTGAGGCAGAGGGGAATGGAGAAGAGGCGCTGGCCTTTGGGGATGGTGCGAGCTGATAGCAGCGATGGGTGGTACCTGTGAGCGAGGGAGGGACCAGGGAGGGAGAGAGGCGATGAATTCTGCTGAGACATCTCAAGAGGTGCTGGCCTTTGGGAAAGGTGCGTGCTGTGCTGATTGCTGTGATGGGAGGCACCTGCGTGCGAGGGATGGACGGAAACATTGCATGGATGGATGGGATGGGATGGGATGGGATGGGATGGGATGGGATGGGATGGGATGGGATGGGATGTGATGGGATGGGATGGGATGGTCCTGAGAAGCCAGGCCAGCAACGGGAATCTCTGAGAAGCACTGGCATGCGATGTGCGGCAGATGATCATGATTGACCAATACCTGTACTCTGGTGGGTCGTTGCTGTCTGCTCTGAGGTGACATTTGAATTGACTCAAAAGTCACCTCGTTAGATGTAATGATTGACCAATACCTGTACTCTGGTGGGTCGTTGTCTGCTCTCTCTTCTTCTTCCCCTTCCTCCCCTTCCTCCTCTTCCTCCTCTTGTGCAGCTATTTCTATTCTCAAAATCTTGAGCTGCGAGAGGAAACACAGCAAAACCAGGACTCAACGAACTAAGATGTTTATAGAAAATAGTGTCAGCTCGAAGGAAAGATGGCAAAGTCAGAAAAAGAAAATCAGATCCAGAGAGGACTACAGTGGCGGATTTGTTTCCCTCACGCGAACAGGGCTACCAGGAGCTGCCACGTCACCCTCCACTCCGTGTTCTCGCAGCCAATCAAGATACTCCATGAATCCGGACTCCTTCAAGAGTTTAGTACTTGGATAAGTATCCTGTTCCTCCTCCTCGTTACTGTCACCCTCCCTCGTTCGTATTGTCACATCGTCCTCGTTCTCCCCTCCCTCTACCCCATCCGCGTCCTCGTCAGCATCATCCAACAGCCAATCAAACTCTTCCTCCATCTCCCTTCCGCTCCCCCCTCCACTGCTCCCACACCGTTCCCCTGGATCTCCTTCCGCTCCGCCAATCCTCGCTTCTCCGCCGACTGGTTTTCCGCCCACATGCACTTCCTTTACTGGCGCTTCTCCCGCTGGCGCTTCCCCCACCGGCGCAGCATAGCGGGGGAAGCCGTCAGCATCAGTAGAGGCAGAACAGGTGCCTCGCGCAGGGGAATGGGGGGGAGAATGACTGGCGGAACATGACGTGGGGTCATCGCCGCAGGCGCGCGGAAGAACAGCGGCGCAGAGGATGAGCGCGAGGGGGATGTGGAGGACGAGGGGAACGAACGATCCGCGGAAAACGCTGGCGTCTCTCCGCGAATCTCGGAGATCGCTCATGGTGTTCCGTGCGAGAACGGGAGTACCATGAGCAGCCCCCGAATATTGACGCGCTTCTCGAAAGGAACGTGGGAAGCGAAGTGGATTTGGAATTTCTGCAAAACTGATTCTGTCAGGGAACTTGGGGTTGTGTGAAAATGCAGGATGAGACGCAGGGCGTCTTCAAAACATGGCTGGAAAGGAAACCAACACTGATCAGCAGATTCCTGTGATTCTGGCTTTGAGAGTTTGGGCATGAAATCATTTTCAGCGAACCAATTTTCCAGCTTGATTGCAAATTGTAGTGATCCGTCCAGGTCGGTGTCGAATTTGATCTCTCATGCGAAGAGAATTCGTAATAGGTTGCATCATCTGAAGGAAGTGATTACGGTTATCAAGGCTTACGAAAATGTCGTATATGACACCACAACGACACCGATCTGACAAGATAATTGATCGCTCTCTGTACACAGCGGTTCACTTTTTGTGAACACGCCTCAGATTGTAAGAACCAAGTACTGGAAAGTGGCTAATTGTGTATCTTGTACAGATAGATTGAAGCAATAAACACTACCATATCGGGTTACGAGTCCGTCTCAACGCGATAAAACGCTTGCTTCGATCAACCCCATAACTTTCAAATTCCTAGACTACCAAACTCAAGCTTGTGATCGGTCTCACCGCAAGGTGCGCGAGACTCGGGAACCTAGGGAAGTCTGAACTCTTGCATAATGGTTGCGCAATCCTCATGCGATATCCCGTTTCTCGTTCTCCCTCGGTCCATTGCCGTCCCGTTGTGCTGGCATTACACGATCAGTGACCTTCGCACAACGCTACTTCCATCCACGTCGTCTGTCGGTTGTAATGTCCACCTCACGATAGAGCGCTACGAGCAAGTCTAGTACGAGATTCCGGGAATGGCTGTATCAGCAGCGCCAGCAGCGGCAGCAGCAAGAGGACGTGATCATTGCGCTGCCCACCGTTGCAACCTCCGTTCTTTGCGCTCTGGTCTCCTCCCTTGGTGGTCTCTCCTCTGCTTCTTTCTTCTCCTTCCGCCCTGCACCTTCCCCTCATCCGCTTCAGTCAGCGCGCAACCGCAAGTAGCGCACGCAGCGCAAGCGGAAGCTGACTGGTGGGCCGCGCATGCGCGGGTTGCGCAGGCGGAGGCGGAGGCGGACGAGGAGGGATTCGATTGGCTGCTGCGGGAGCTAGGGGGAGGCACCTCCGCGGAGGGGAATGAGTGGGAGGCGGAGGGCGGTGCGGAAGGATGGGAGGAAATTCCGCTGGAAGGTTCCGGGTTCGCGGAGCTGCTGACGTGGCTGCGCGCCAATGGGGCGCGCGGAGAAGTGTTGGATGGGAAGACCGTTCGAGTGAGTGGATGGGGTGGATGGGTGGGATGCGGGAGTAATAAACAAAAGCACAACCTGCCCCATTTTGCTCTTCCTGCTGCATGATCTTGACTGGTCTGACCAATTGGGTGTTGCCGCGTTTCGTTGTGTGATTCCATCCATCCCTCGGTCAATCCAATACGCTCCAAAAGGACCCCACAAGAACTTGGGGCTGTTATGACGTGCGTTTTGACGCTTGGAAAATCACCATCTGCTTAGCCTCCTCGTACTAGGCCTCTCACTCCCGTCCCATGCCTTTGCTTCGTGTTCCATTGTACCTTGTTGAACCCACCTGTCCTCTTTTGACAGTTCCATTGTACCTTGTTGAACATGTCCCAAGACCAATTGTACCTTGTTGAACATGTCCCAAGACCAATTGTACCTTGTTGAACCCATGCAGTGCGGCACTGCATCCATACGGGGTCCTTCCTTGTCAGTTCTCCGCCCCCTGTGCCCTGTGCCCGTGCACCCGCCCTTTGATGCAGTCAAGAGTGTTTCGGATGGAGCTTCCAGAAGACACTAGCTCAGATCAGACTGACAGGGCGGGCAAGTGCTGCACACATACAGGGCTGCTGTGCTGCGTTGCTGATTCACTACCCCTCACTACCCCCTTATCTGCCCGTGCACCCGCCCTTTCATGCAGTTGAGAGTGTTTCAGATGGAGCTTCCAGACGACACTAGCTTGGACTGGCAGGGTCGGCAAGTGCTGCTGACGAGGAAAGAGGGGGATCTGAGTGGGGAGAAGGCGGAGGGGGAGAACGTGGAGGGGGGAGAACGTGGAAGGGGGGAGGCTGAGGGGGAGAATGTGGAAGGGGAGAAGGAGAAAGAGGAGGAGACGAGGGACAACGGGGCAGAGAGGGAGAAAGAAGATGCCAAGGGGAAGGAGGAGAGGAAGTACAGGCAAGTGGCAAGGGGAGGTGCTGCTGCTACCGCTCCTTTCTCCACTCTTCTTTCTACAGCTGCTTGCAGCGGCCTCTGGGATGAATAGCTCACACCTCCCTCTCCGTTCTCCTTCCCCATCCCCACCCCACTCCTCCCTCCCCTTTTCCCATCTCCGCCCGCTTTTCCCCAGGTTCTTCCCCCAGCTGCAAGCAGCAGCGCCCATAGGCGCGGGGCAGCTGCTGCTGCGCCTGCCCCTGCCGCTGCTGCTCAACGCCTCGCGCTGCTCTGCGCCCTCCCCCCGCCTCCCCCTCCCCCCGCGCCTCCCCGTCTCCCCCGGAGGTGCCCTCGCCGCCTGCCTGCTGCTGCTGCAGCAGCAGGGGGAGGGGGGCGAGCCGGGGGGAAGGGAGGGGGGAGGTGAGGCCGGCGAGGAGAGCTGGGGAGCGCAAGTGGTGGCGGCGCTGCTGGCGTCCCGCACAGCCCGGCTGCTGCCCATGCTCAGAAACGACCTCCCGAGCTCGAGTGCTCATCTTGACTGGTCTTGTGACCATTGCTTGTTCTGGCTATCCCCCACTTCGCCTATGGGGGTGTGTCAAACATATATGCTTAGTTATATCTAGGCTTAGTTTATGTGTTTATAGTTGTCTAGGCTATAGTGGGTTTAGCCTTAGGGGGTACATATTTCTCTCGACATTCTACTTGTACCCCTTCCCTTTTCCTAGTCAATCATTCTCGCCTACTATTCTCACACCCGTCGTGGTGCGCATTGCCTGAGCTCTTGTACGCTCGATACTTTCCGAGAATGTCATCGAACCTATCACGCAATCACATGAAACCGGGCGACCATTAGTGACTCCGACATCGGCCGAAGGGTGTCCGACTTATCGTGTTTTTGGAAGGTACGCGCCTCGTGCCCATATCACCGTCCACATCCCTGTCGGCAAAATCTTGACCTCCTCCCACACCTTCCTCCACTTCTCCAACTCGGTTTCCTCCAAGTCGGTGAGCTCGGCCATGAGGACCTTGCTGACGTAACCGTCGTAGACGATGTACGCAATCGAGTGCAGGTACGCCGGCTCCATCTTGTCGTGCGACTTGCCGATGTATCGATTAGCGCCGAGCACCTTAATCTCGCCCACCCACCCTAGACCGTCGCCCGAGTTGTCGTGGCGAATGCCATGACCCTTCCGTCCTTTCTCCTTCTCCTTCTCCTCCTTTTCCTTCTCCTTCTCCTTCTTCTTCTCCTTCTCCTTCTCCACCGCCTTCTCCTTCTCCTTCTCCTTCTCCGCCGCCTTCTCCTTCCCTTTCTTCACCGACGTACCCTCGCCAACCGACTTCTCCTCCTGATTCTCCTCCGCCTTCTCCTTCCCTTTCTCCACCGAATTCTCCTTTGCCTTCTCCCTCCCTGTCTCGGCCGTCATCGCCCGTGTTTTCCTCTGAGAGCTCGCCCTCCCTTTCCATGTGTTGGCCTTCCCCTTCCGTTTCGACTCTCCCTCGCCGACAGCATCAGTGGTTGTCTTTGGCTCCGCTGAACCACCGGGGGGACTCGCCGAGGGCTCCACATGCGTCGTGTCCAAGATGGCCAAAGCAGGGGGGTGCCTGGGGCGTTTTACCGCTTCCAACAGGTTCTGGATGGCAGCTATGTCGGTGTCGTTGTGGCCTTTCGACGCCCGTGCAAGATCAACGGCCCCGCCGCCGGTGGCTAGCGCTGCCCTCACGCCCTTCTCCGCCGCCTCGTTTACCGACGTCGGCGTCGCGCTTGAGCCTGCTTCCGGCTGAGTCCGTGTTGGCGCCGGCGCACTACGTGCGCCTAACCGGGCGCGAAGCAATGCGGACTTTGGGTCCGCAGGAGGACGGGCGGCGACCAGAGGCGCGGTAGGTGGGGCACTGGGCGTTGTGGCGGCGACCTGCGGAGTGACAGAGCGACGTGCTGTTTCGGCGGGGGGCGGCATCGACCAAGGGAGGCTACTGCACGTCCTTGCGATGGGCCTCCATGCGGTGAAGCATTTCCCTGAGCGCGTTCGCCGCTGCGGGCACTTTGACAGTTAGCCGCAGCATCCTTCGTGTCGCCCTTGGCGGCAGACGGGCCTGCTGGAGCTGGAGTAGCGGCAAGGGCCGGCCCATTGTTGTTGGCGGCTGACGGGCTGACCGGCGTGCTGCTAGCCACAGGGGGTTTACGGGGAATCGACGTGGTCCCCGCCACCCTGACAGACGGTCCCTTGACGGTTCTGGCGCCGCCATCTATCGCCGTTTGAGTGGTTGGGATCTCCTTGTCGCTCAAGCCTTTCCCGCCGCTCGCCAGACCATGGGGCTTCTCAGCAACCAGGGGCGAGGCTGATGGTCCAGCGTCTTGCGCGGCAACCTCGTCGGCATGGCCCCCATCTGCACTCCCGATTCCATCACCCTTGCTGTGCGACCTTATCACCTTGGCCCCGTTCTTCTTGAGCTGGTCGACCACGCTCTCACCTCGAGTCCGCGAGCCGCCTGGACCCACCGCGCCGACACCGCGGCTCCCATCGGCTCCCTTGCTCTGCTTCATGCTCCCCGCATCATCTCCGCCGCCCGCCCTTTTCTGGCCCTGCTTGTCGGCCTCCCTTCGTTGCGCGGGGTCGGCGTCATTGGCCGACGGCGACGACCCACGCCGACCAGGCGCCACATTGCCGATTACCTCGGTTATGAGCTTTAACCCGGACGCAACAAACGACTGGTGGGTGGCCTCCGTCACCACCTTCAACACGTCCGCCTTGAACGACTTCATGAGCTCGTCCGGGAAGGCTGGCGTGGGCTGCGGCGGCGGCAGCGGCACGGCGATGGTGCGAGTTACCGTGGCGGCAATGTTGGTCTGCGCGGCGGCTAGGTGCTTAGAGATGTAGTCCTCCAAACCCAGCTTCGCATCGTCCACCACCACTTCCACGTGGTTGGCCAAGGCGGTGACCGCTTTTGCGCGTTCAACTACCATACTTCCCTCTGGACCGTCGATTTCCGCCAACCACGTCGACGCCTGTTCCGCGAAGGACTTCATCGCCTTCCACGATTTGTCCATGTAGCTGGTGATGTTGTCCGCGATGGTTGTCAACACGGCCGACGTTGCATCTAGCAGCCGTTTCGGCGCATTATGGTCGGAGACGGAGACCTTGTCGGCCAACGACTGGAGCTTGTCGAGGATTCCACGTATCCCCAATGCAAACCTGTCCACCCGACCCCTTTCCTCTCCGTGCGCCTTCTCCGGGCATTTTCTGCCGTCAACCGCCTGTTCTCCTGTCGCAGCTGCTCGACGACGTCCAACGGTGCCTGCCGACCAGATGCGGAGGAACCGGGATGACCGCGCACCGCCTTCTTCTTCCTAGACCGCTCCCCCCGGCCTTCCCTGCGGTGGTCTCGGTAGGCCCGTCCACGCCCGTTTGCTTCGCGGCCGCGGGGTTATCCCCTTCTCCAACGGCCTCGAGGTCGACAACTTCCTTCGCGTCGCCAACCACATCGCCGACCATGACCTTTTCACTCCCCCCGCGAGCCGCCTCCACGCCGACTCTCTCCTCGTCGGCGTCCTCCCCTCCCTCGTTCACAACATCCGCCGACCTCCCACCCGTTTCCGCCGCTCCCTCTAAGTACTACACCTCAATTTCCTCCAACTCCCACTTGACCTCTTCCTCCTGCTTCCCCTCTTACTGCTTCTCTGCCTCCTCCACCACCTCCTCCTCCTCCTCCTCCTCCTCCTCCTCCTCCTCCTCCTCCTCCTCCTCCTCCTCCTCCTCCTCCTCCACCTCCATCTCCTCCTCGTCCTCCTCCTCTTCCGCCGAGCCCCCCTCCTCCTCCTCCTCCTCCTCCTCCTCCTCCTCCTCCTCCTCCTCCTCCTCCTCCTCCTCCTCACGATTGTCATGGTCCTCTTCCTGATCCTCGTTATCATCCTGATGGACGTCCTCGTCCTGGTGCTTCTCTGCGGTCCCAGTCACCGCCCTTCCTGCCTCCTCATCTTCCTTGTTGATGCCACCTCCAGGCTCTCCGATCAAAGTCCCACGCGCATCATCGACGGTGTGGGCGACACCTACTGCTTGGGATGCCGAAGGGGCCTCCTTGTCGTCGTCGTCACAAGCGTCGGCAGCAACTCCGACATGGCCCGACCGTTTGAGAGCGACGTGCTCCTTGACGAATGTTATCATCCCATTCAGCAGCCCCTTCAACCCCGAAACGTTGACCTTGTCCATGCTGGTCACACTGCAACGGAGGGCGCTGGTCAGGAGATCCATCCTCCTCACCACCCAGCACAACGCGCTCATTGCTAGCAGGCCGGAGCCCGCGTCCTCGTCCCGGACGGCGTCGGGCACTTTCTGCATACAACAGTTCAGAGCGCAAGGATGAGCACCGCGTTCGGCAATCGCATCGCGCAAGGATGACACACTATAGGACGGTAAATCGTTCGGAACTCACATCTCGAACGGGTTGATCGCAGTCGGCGAGCCTGTCCTCCACCTCTTCATCAGAAGGCTTCGCCCACTCCCACTTCCTACCATCACGCCCAAGCTCGGCCAGTACCGCCGCCCGGAAAAACCTGAAGCAAGATGGCACAGATTGTCTGTGAGCATGGTTAACGCTGCGCGGCGAAATTGCATGCGTCGTCGACTACACTATCGAGCTCACTTTAGCACGCGGATCTCCTCGTCGCGATGCCACTGCTTCACGGTCTGCGGATCAACGTGCCGGATCGAGGTCCTGATCTTCTCCCCCCCGGCCTTCAACAAGTCGTCGGGGTACATGATGACAACGATGCTGCAATGTGCTCCTGGAAGTGGTGCGATGCTGCACAGGCAAGGCACGACTACGTCGTTCAGAACAGAGCATCATCATAGGATGCAACACACATCATGACAACTTCGAACCAGCTCACCTCTAAGTCAGGGGGATAACCGCTATGTCGGCGCCGAAAACCGTCGCAAAGCATGTGTGGTCCGCCTGACCCATCGCTGCCCGAAGCCGGCCGAGTCCTATCGACCACAATCGCATGTTGGCCGGCGCCGCGCGAGTCCATCCGTGCCTGCACGCATGCAATGGGTATTAGAAGTGAGTGAGGAGGTGTACGACACGACGGTGGATACGTTGGTGTAGGAACCGCCAACTGACGGGGATGGTAATAGTACGACGGTGCACCACCCTCGCGATGTTGTAATCAATGGAGCCGACCAATGCGGGCCTAAACCATGTGCCGACACCGACCTACTGTAGATAACCCTGAATCCTAAAGTCGGCGTCGACGTGAACTGAACTAAACCCTAAACTCGTAGCGCCACCCTAGACGTGGGACAACCCTAACACCGACGCTACGTCGACCAGCAAGGTATGTAGAGGTCGACGCTGACATCCCCATACGGAGACTCACTTGAGGCCGAATCCCAAGCAACGGGCATTGAACTCTAGCCTATGGTCTACGAGGACGGCGTAGTCGTGTTCCTCGAGCTTGGCAGTGAGTCCACTACCGAGGTCAAGATACAGAGGGAAGTCCTGCGAAGTCGGCGCCGCTTCGCCGGCTTTCGGGTCGGCCTCAATGGCGGGGAAGGGAAGTGACTACAGGCTAAGGGACGAGAATGTGGGAGTAATGTTGAAAGAGAAACGAGATGCCGAAAATGAGGAGCGATGCCTCCTTCCACCAAGAAAAGGGAGTCGGTGCCCCACAGGCCGGTTGAGGCATCGCCCAGGGTTCGTGGTGCCTGGCTCGATAGGGTTTGGCGGGCTGCATGCACAAGTGACACAAGTGCTTCTTCGCCGCCGAGCCAGCACGTCGACTTCGCGTCCCCTGGCTTCGCTCGGTGAGGGGACGCAATTTCGCATGCGCGCGGTGCGACGTTTCAGCCAACACGTGTCGACTTCGCAACGGTTCGCGAAAACCCTGCGCCGCGATGCGAGCAATCCAATTTCGTAGAGCTCGAAATTTCGCATGCACCCGATGCGAACCCGCGTGCGAACACATGGCGTCACCGCAACAGGTCGCGAAATTGTCGAGCGTCCCGAGGGGAGCACCCGAATTTCGCATGGCCCTCGCCTGCCCATCCGGGCAGGTCGCGAGGGTCACTAGGACGTCGCGGGCAGCAGGCACGGGAGGGCTGCCTTCGCGCGAGGGTTACTTTCCCTCGCGCGAGGGCTCGCCAGCTCGCCGCCCCCACCCGGTAACGTGGGGCGCTGTTCAATCATGCAGGGGGGTTGCGGGGCGGCGGTCGTGCGCTCAGCCCCGCCCTGGGCCACGCTGGCGGGCCCGCACGCGCGTCAGTTGCCCGCCTCGCCAGGCCTGGCTCCGACTGTTGTAGAGGACTCTCCTCTAGTTGGAAGGAACTGGGATTTGAACTAAACAATAGGGCAATCTGAAAGCTTTCCAACGAGCCATAGATCACCTCGATCGCCTAAGTATCGAGCGAGATATAGGCGTTTATGTGCTAGGTAGTGCTCTTGGAATCAAGGAGAGGAGCTCTCTGGATTTTGTAGTCGAATGAATCACGTACGAAGTGATTCTCGATTTCAGTATGATTCATGCAATACAAAGCAAACAGATTTATAGCATGCAACAAACATCGAGTCGCACAAGAAACCTCGAACCGCTACACTCTCGAAAGTTCGAGTAACATTCCGAAGGGGTGAAATTCGACACTCGAATTTCACCAAACCGAATTCTCCTTGAGTCTCGAATGTTTTTGGTGTTATGATGTGGCACCGAATTGATGGGTCTTCCAAAGTCAATCCTTCAACCCCACGCCAACCTGCAGCTCACTCGAAAGTGAGCACCAAGCCAACACCTT